CTCGAAGTGGTATGCTAAGGTGGGGGGGAGTTGAATTAGGTTAGAAAAAGGTCCAGAGTGACCAGATCTAGTCATGGTACTGGTGTGTGAAGTCCCTGACAGTTGGTCGGAGCTGTATGAGGCGATGTGGACTGCGTGGTTGGGGTCTATGAGACGAAAGGAATGAGTGATTGAGGACACTTGTTGAAATGTCTAAAAATCGGTCACAATGGTGAAGATATATTCACTCCTTAACATCTTATAAAGCTTGAATATTCGCACTAACCTTCATCTTCAGCTTGTTTATTCTCTTACACAACTTTGTCTACTTTGATATCACTCTTAATATATCCGCCTTTTCTTTATGTGAAGTTTTTAGCAGCTAGTGCTGAAACACTTGTGTGCAAGGTAGTAAGTTAACTTTCTCAGTCAATTATCGTGTTAAATATCTTCAGGCTAATTGCAGTTCAATCAGAAGGCAGTTGTCGAAAACTCTAAACATAAATAATATCCACAATAAAAGTGGGAATGATTTGTAATCATGCACTGAGTAAGAAACAAGCTAAGCATTCTCCTAAACTAATATTCACGTGATGGTAATTAATTATTATTTTCCCCTTGGGTTCCTACTGGAACATACGGCTTCAGTAGCATGCCTCCATTCCACTCTCTTTTCTTCAGTCTTCAAAACCTGGAGCCAAGACTGCCCACAAGCTTTAATTTCTTCCTCACACCATCTCCTCCATGTCACCCTCGTCTAGCACCTTCAACTCGTCGTTTCCCATCAGGAGTCCACTCGAGGGCCTGGCAAGTGATGTCCCCATGTCTCAGTGTATGCCCAATCCAATCGATCTCCACTTCCTTTTTCTGCATATTTGTTGGTCGATGTGTTGTTGGTTGGTTCGTTACCAGCCAGTTGGATTGAGTTCCTTGTTCCTTGCTTATTCTTATTATTCTGGCCATCCATCTGATCTTCAGTGTCAGTATTGAGTGAGTGTAGGCGGAAGCTGTTGGTGAATGTCTGTAGTTTGTTAGAAATGCTTTTCATGACTCACCAAGTTTCTGAACCATATGGAAGCACTGACTTGACATTGGTGTTGAGAATCCACATCCTGTCCTTTGTGTTCAGTGCAGTGCAGTAGATCTCCATACTGATTTTAGATTAATGAAGGCCTGTCTTGGTGTCTTTTCCATCCTGGCTTTGACATCCTCATCTGTGCCTGTACCGCCGCCTGTAGTTAAAACGATGCTGCCTTTTCCAGGTAGGTGAAAAAGACTACTTCCTTTAAGTTTCTCCCGTTGATGGTGATTGGTAATTGTTGTTGCTGATGCTGTTGTTGGTTGGGTATCATCATCACCGTCTTCTCTACGTTCACTTGAAGTCCCGTCTTCGCTGCCCTGCCTCGCCTCTTCTGTCAACTTGTTAGTTTTCGCCTGAAGATATTCGAGTATGTGCGACATCAAACATAAATCATCGGCGAAATCCGAATCCTCTAGGCTCTTTTCGTCCGTCCAGCCACCGTATGCCCATCTTCTCGCTCCTCACATTTTGCTGCATAATCCAGTGGACCATAATCAGGAAGATCATTGGTGATAGTAGGCAGCCTTGTTTTACTCCTGTCTTCACTTCAAAGGCGTCATTGAGCTTCCCATTGTGGATCACTTGGCATATCCTCTCTTCATATAGTTGTTGAATGAGGTTGATAAAGGTTCGTGGCACTCCATAGTGTTGAAGCAGTCGCCAAATTACTTCTCGGTCGACGCTGTTGAAGGCCTTTTCAAAGTGGATAAAGCTGAGGTAGAGAGTTGACTAACGTGATGGCAATTACTCCGTATAAACATATGATAATCAACCAGAAAAGTTAGCTAATATTGTACCTTTCCAATTTCAGTTTAAAATCTTATTTCTAACCATTTAGTTTTGATACATATCGTTACACAAAAGTATTCAAAGATAAAGTATACGTTTTCTTATGAAACCCCTTTTCAGGTTGATTACATTTTGTAAATTTTTCTCATATAAGTGATTGTCTCCATATCATTATTGTGGTTATTTTATTATTATCATGAGCTACACATGGTGAATATTGATATTTAACTAACGGAAGGTATTTTAGTTCGGAGGTTCATGAGGTTTAATTGATTTCAAGGTGGTAGTTTATTACGGACTGAAGTCAGTTACAAAACTATTGAAAAACTAGGAGCACTGGATAACTGTTTTATCCTGGTATGGGAATCCTTAGCAGTGGTCACGCAACACGACAGACTAACAGGACTATGAATTATTGGTTCATTGGATCCTGATGCAGTGGCACATTGACAACGTGCTTGCCATAAGATCCGTAGGTCCTAGGGTTCGACTCCCAGAGGGAGTCGTGGGTGAACACCGCCGAAGAGACTCATGTTAGGACGAAACACTTATCCAATGCTCCTCGATCTTCAAAGGTTTTTCAATTGACGTCAGCCTACGATAACTACCACCAAGAAGGTATTTATTTAACACGTAGAAGACATACAAAAGCTATTCAATGGATAGTAATCAGTGTATGTGGCAACTTTTAGGAGTGCTTATCGAAGTCTCCTGCTCAAGTTCGGTAAAAAGCCATTAGGCTAAATGAAAGAACAGTGTGCAAGAGGTATTTATTGCTTTCAATAGCGTAATTCATCAGTAGAAGTTCTCTATATCCTCTTCTACGAAAAAAAAACCTCATTAAAGTCCATTACTGTGATAGCTTGACGTTATGAATGGTTTATTTTCATCATGGTCAGATAATAAATGTCAAGGCTAAATAGTATTATGGTCAGAAAGGTTTAGTGAAGATTGAACGGTTAAAGTGACAGTGTAAAAATGAGTCACTAATTCTACTAATCAACTAATTTTAGTAACTTTAAACGTCAGCTTAGTAACCTGATGTAATTAGGTTTCTTTACATAACAAGAAAAACTATCTATTCATTCAAAATCAAGAAATCTAGTTGGTTATTTCATTCCTTGATCCCGTGACCTTTAATTTCATTAACACTGAGGTGGATCACTGAAAAGACTACAGAAATAACTAATAGAATTTCTGTATTTTGATTAAGACATTAACTGGTCTCTGGAAAGTAAGCAACACCTTTCTCCAACATAATCCTAACATCGCACTTCGGAGTAGATGGTGGTTTAGCTTGCGGAACAAATATCCAAACCACCTCAGTCAAACGCAATCCGCTACCTTGTGCACATTCGTGTAGCGGGCAGTGGAGCTACACCTATTTTGCGACGGGTAGTGATACAACTACCTAACTACCCAAACCTCGGTAGGTGGAGCGGGCTTCGAACTCATCACCCAATGGTTGACAGTCATCTCCCTAAACCAATGAGCCACCTCTCCACAACTATCTCACTCAGTAACGTTTCACAACCTCATCAACTTATGTGCTTTCCTTGCATAACATCCTGAATATTAAGTGAACATTGCTTAGGTGTTCATCCCGCCAAATGTAGACAATGCTACCAAGACACCTATGATCAAAATAACAGTGTAACCTAGTAAGGACTGAATGTATCACCTATACCTATCTTTTACTAGTTGTTTAGGATATTCTGGTTATGCATAAAAATTAGTCAAAACAGTCACTTACGCAACTCTACACAGTCTAAACAAGAAGGGTTGAGTTGAAGCTCATTGATTCAAATAATCAACTTCGAATCAATAGGTCCCTGATCCAAAGATCATTTTAACTGCTTCTATCTGGGAAACCGGATAATATTATCAACCTTCAAACAATAAGTGTGATTCATAGCCTAATAAACAGTATTATACAATGTTAAGTTATTGATATTATCATTGCACGGTTAGAACCAGTTATTCGACACTATATCAACCTCCGTAAAGTGAAGAAACGCCTACCAGAAATAACTTCAGTTTCTGTCCAATACTTTTAGATAATCCTCTTAGGTTTAACACACAGCATCTATCAAAAAGTTATCATCCTTGAATGCATCTCTTCAAGATTTAAGAGAGACCAAAATAACATTTCATCATGCACTGACATCAGTTAGAGGAACAATGGAAACCTGGGAGTGCTGGATGGCTGTTTCGTCCTGATATGGGACTCTTCAGCATTGCGTACCGTGGTCATAGGTTAACTGTAAACTGCAAAAAAACTCTCAGATACTATACACATGTTCATGCGTTAGACAATATGTCATACCTATTGAATGAGACGACTAACGATACTACTTGACTACCCAAATTTTAATAAGTATAGCCAGTTTCAAAACCATGACCTACTGGTTAAAAGTCAACTTTATAGACGAACAGGCCACAATCTCACCACTATACGCTTTCAGTCAGTAACGTAATGTCAATTATATTGTCTCCAGTAGTTTGATGCGCCTTACTGACAACAATACAAACAATAACAAGTAAAATCCCCTACTTTTCTAATTTATCTAACCAATCAATGACCCTTAAGGCTACTCTAGCTACTACTTATTAGCCTATCAGGTTGCTTTATTTCACTGAAAAACTACACTTTTAGAAATAACGAAGCCTAACTGGTTATCTCAGCGGTTTCTTAGTTGGACTTTAAACTTCTTCATAAAAAACCTAGAAAAGTTGTTGCTTGTATTTTTCCGTTGTTGAGTGAAGCAAACTGATCGGTCTCTAATGGTATAAAGGCTCCTACGCGGATGCCTGCATATTGCCTGTCGTTTCAACTATATAGTAATGATCGATAACAGCTAGTAGTGGAATCGAGGACGCATGTTTCGTCCTACCCAGGACTCATCAGCCGGAGGTATCTGAATCCCAGTGAGCGATGTTCTTCTCACCAACACCTGACCCCGGGACCGATCGCTTTAAACGCCACAGCGTTATCTACTAAGCTAATCAGTTATCGTAGCCATTTCTTGCGCGATTAGTATAGTTTGTATGTTATTGTTTGCTTATGTTTTACGTTCCGCAGTCAGCCACTAGCCATCATAACTTAAAATCATGTTTAAATCCTTATTTTAAAAAAGTAATGATAACATACCAGGTAACTGTTGGCATATTTGTAAAACAATTTCACCGCATGCATCTATCATAATTGGATCTGAACGTTTCTGGAAGTAAAAATGGAATACGTTTTAAAGTACATTGAAACATTGAACAAATACGTTGAGAAATAACAAGAAAGTTTATATAATCATAAGATGAGTACAATATTCTTTAGTTTTATTGCTAACTGGAGTTTATTTAAGCGTCAGTAAACCTGTGGTCCACTAGGCAACTGACTTTCAACCGATAGGGGTTTAAACCCTGCTTCACCAACAGAGGTTTAGAAAACCAGGTAGTATCGTTAGTCCTCACACCATTGGTGTAGTTTATCGCCTATTGTACGAACGTTTACAAGGTTGTTGAGTTCATTTCAAGTTTATATAACAGATAAAAATGACACTATAAATACACATAACGTCATAGCGATGAGTATGCATCCGCAGGTGGCTACTCCTCTTTCAGTACACTTCATTAAGCATATTGGAAGCATATGAGTAATATTTTACTCAGTAAAATAAGATTAATCAATGAAAAATGACTAAAATTTCCTTCACTAGTTGATACCAGATGGAGAACTGTTGAAAAACCCTAAGATAGCACTGGGAAGCTCTTTCGTCCTACTTTAAGTTTTCAACAGTGGATATCTGCAACTCCACGAAGGATCAGAGTCGATAATTGTTTTCTTTTCAAATACTTTTAACCACTAAGTATAACCCAGATGATTCTAGTCAAATATGCCTAAACGATGCATGATTTCAATCACCTCCATTACAATGCGTTGTCATCCAGTAATTAAAATATCTTTTACCAAAAGAGCAATTTAGAGGTTTGGTCATAAAATCTTAGGTAAAAGAAGCAAGTCAGTTTTTTACGTTATGAAACCTTATTGACCCAGATGGATTGTACAGGCATAGTTACCAACTATTCCAGCTAACAATGTTAGATGAAGTAGGTTTAGACTGTGAAGAGGTCAGAAGCGATTAGCGAATTGTCTATCTGTTCATGTGACCCATGTATGGGAACGTAATCATAAAGGTTGAAGTCTACATACCAACCGAAATTCGGACTTGAAGGGTGTACGTGATGCGGCTTAGAACTGATCTCATTGGTACAGATGCACCCTCAGATTTTCTGAATTATTATCGTTATACTATATATCACTATTTGCTTTATCTCTTCCCCACTCCCTTTTTATTATGAATACCTGACAACGTCTCTTCAAATTTTCTCCAATTTCTTTGAATTTCATTCTAGAGTCTTGTATCTTCACTTTCTATGTGGTAGTTAAGCAGTAATAAAAAGTTTTATGTTGATAAAAATGATGAAACTACAGAATTTTACCACCCTTGAGCGACTATCAAATGAACTAATCATGTTGAAGATGACTGTCCTATTGTTTTGAAAAACTTTGAATTTCTGAAATAATATTTGGTTATGCATAATATTGATGACAATTTCGATTGAGTCGAGTTAATTCTCATTATAATCTCTATACACTAACTGTAAACTATACTTCCTCCAAACTTTACAAGTACAAGTTGATGAACTGTGAGTAAAGACAGCATTAATTGTTAATTCTGTGGAGGTTTTCCATGTGTCAAGATTTCGAAAAACAACAAAATAATGGACAAGAAGTACAAGAAGTAGTGTTTAAGGGTGTTCAGAAGCTTATCTAGGTTTTCGACAGCTTCTGGATGCCTAGAGTAAAAGTACATCCACAGGAAGCCAAAACAACAAACGGAATGAAGTTTGATATAGACGTGAATAAGAGTTTAAGACGCTTCATACACCCCAACCACCTAGTCTGCATCACCTCCGCACATTGGCTCAAACCAACAGTCAGAGACTCTTCATGCGTTGGTGCCATGTTTTGGCCTGACCACCTCGGGCCTTTTTCCAGCCTGAACCCACTTCGACCAACATTCTGTGGACAAGGCAATCGGTGACTAGGCATACGTAACACATGCCCAGCTAATCATCTCAGTTGATAAAGCTTCATAACCTCGTCAACTGATTTACCTCTACTCCCTAAAACTCTACACCTGACTTCTGCATTACTCACCTTGTGACACCACAGAACACGCCCTATACTATGGAGGCAATGGTGGTCAAACACCTGAAGCCAGCCTTCTCATGTCTTCCACCTTCAATGGCCATGTTTAGCAGTTATACAATAGAACAGAGGGGACTGCTGTGCAGTACACGCGACCCTTAATAGATAATCAGATATGACGGCGGCGACATAGGTGGCGTAAATTGGCAAAGATTTCACCAGTCACTGAGCCACTAGGGCAGGGCTGATCCTACTTCGTAGGTAAGAGAAGTAGTCGATACACTCAATCACTTCACTCTCTGTTGTTAGCCGTAGCACCGTTGAAGACCAATTGTGGAGCAAAAAGTTTCATTTGGGTGGTGAGAAACGAAAATATTGAATCATTAATTCCAAAACTTGAAAATTAAGTGATAAAGCAGCAAACAAACAATGGGTAGGTCCTCTTTTCAGTATCCGAGCAGAAATGTATGAGCAACGTAAAACTTAGTTCGTGGGTTTGTAGGGATTTGGTGTTTTTCCAAGTTAGTATTCATCATAGATTGACACCAGTTGGAGGAACATTAGAAAACTGGGAGCAGTCGACAGCTGTTTCGTCCTAGTATGGGACTCCTCAGCAGTCCGCACCCATGATGACTCGATCGAACCCAGGACCTTCAGGTTCCCTACTGTATAAGATCTTTTTTCTACATGTTACATATAGATTACCATTTTTATATAATATGATACATAGGTCAAAGAAAAGATGGGATGGGAATACGATAACTTCAATCAACAAACCAGTATATATTAGAATCTTGGGATGTCCCAATTATTCAGTATCGAAGAGAATAATACAGATGAGTTGGGCCTCTTTGCATCTATGTATACTTTGATGCTTGAAATAGCAACCCATTTTTTGTTTAGCTCGATCCAATTTTGTTAGTGTCTGACAATTATACAAATTGTATTTCCTCAAAACTTTACGAAAACATGTTAACCAACTACATGTAAAGACGACAGTAACTACAATAACATCTCAGTGATCTCATTCGAAGACGATTCGGCGGCAGCAGCGGCAAGAAAATAAAAATATACAAACAAACAAAACACTACTGTCCGATAACAAGAACTATGTTGAACTTATAGCCAGATAAATGTGAATACAGTCAGTGCCTATCATGTCACAAATCCTTTTTGAATCTTCTTTCAATAGGATGCTGAGTCAGTGAACAGAAACAGGTGAATATGATTAGCATACACTAAGATATTTGTTCAGTCACTCAATTGATATCTTAGACTATTTTATTTGTTTAAAACGAACAGTGTTTAGATAGCGGGAATTCAAAAGTATGTATATAATAATCATGTAACAATAATAATAATAATCGTATAAAAATGTAAATAAAGCAATAGAAGAGTGTGAATCAACTCATGCAAATGAAAAAGGAAACAAATGATAAAAAAGATACTATGAAGCGAATACAAACAATGAAAACAGAGACCGAAATTGTATTGAATGACTGTTTGAAGTTTAGTTTAGAAAGGAGTCATTGTTTAATACTTGTAACTCCCCGTTACTATATAAAAAATGATACCCGTGGCATTAGGAGTGGTTCTCGTAACCAAGTGGCCTAATGGTTAACACTCTGCCGTTTGAAGCGGTGGATACTGGGTTTGGGTGTCAATAGGAACAACATTACTCACTCACTGGAGTGTAGGTACACCCAGCTAACGAGTCCCAAGCAGGATGAAACGCATGACCAGAGTTCCGCTGCTAGTAGCCGAAATAAATACAACATAGAAGGGAGTAGGTTTAAGAGGGAAAAAGCTGAGGAGTCCCATACTTGGGCCAAGCAGCTATCCAGCGCTCCTAGGTTACCAATGTTCCTCCGATTGATGTCAGTCCATGATGAATTTCAACCTAAACTCAATTAATAAATTTTCAAAAGCCTCCAGATAGAACTATTCTAGCGCTCATTGTCGATTAGCTTCGAGAGGTGATTCCTCAAGTTCTAATGAGTATTCCTGACCAGTGGAGTCAACTAAGTCGAACACGAGGACAGTTAGTAAACAACGACTTTCGCTTTATCGTGAACTGGCATAAAAAAGGAAATGTAGACCATTGGGTTCCGACCCAGTGACTTAATACTAACGTATTGGCCACGAAACTTGGGTTCGATCCCTGGCGCGGCAGGGTCATGGATGCACACTGCTGAGGAGTCCAATACTAGGACAAAACAGCTGTGTCTAGTGCTCACAGCTTTTCAATGTTCTTCCAACCTATGTCACTTGATGATGAATTCCAACCCACAAACCTTCAGATAGAAAAAAAAGCAGTTGAAAAGCGGACATGAACAAAAAACTATTTTCGTTCAACAAATAACACTAGACCGACAGTTTATGTTTAGCCTGAATATGAATGTATCTTTTACCAGTAGTTATTAATGGGCACGATTTAATAATACTTTGTTAGAAATAAACAGATTCCTATGAGGAACTAATTGAAAAGAAATATTTCTTCGCTCATATTGTTTGTTTTACTAAAACATCAATCAGAAAACACATTCACCAGTGTACAAATATCAATGGAGTCCATGACCGGTGTCCTGACTTGTATTGAGAAGTTGGTTGACTAGCTGTCTGGTGTCTTCAAGATGTCATGAATCGACAATTGGATAATCTTGATAATAAGGTTTCAGCCACCAAACATGATTTTATTGTCCAAATAGTCATATCGAGGTAACTGTACAACTTTGAGATATGGTTTTTGTAACTTTCATTTTGAGTAGTAGAATTTTTCACATATCTTGAACAGGTGCTGAATCATTTCGATTGCATATGTCCAGTGTTGATTCGATGAACACAGACATGGTTATCGATCTCTCTAGGTTAATTTTAAGGACTTTCACTCTGTCCTATCTTATCATTGTATGGTTTATAAACGGCTAGTCTTTTGAAACATTTAATTATACTCCAAAAATATGGTTAAAATATACAGATGACAAGTTTATATTACTCAAATCAGAGCACACA